AACCCTAGTCTAAATTGATGAATGTGATATTTGTGGATTTATGCAATTAGAGGTGAAATTGAAGATCCAAAGGTGATCTTCCTAAATCAATGTCATGTATAGTAATTGATCAAAGTTAGGATCATACAATCATAAATTGAACTAGACTTTATTGAATATGAAGGATCTTGACTTGTAAAGATGAAATTGAACCTGTATGATGAATTATGACTAGAATCACCTAGTAATAAAGAATGTGATTGAATAGCTTGTATTTTAGACATGAATGAAGTTAAGCTTGAAAGTAAGGCTTGTAGCCATCAATGGCAAGGCTTTGGAGGTAAAGCCAATATTATGTGATTGTGTTGTGTATTTCTTCTCTCTAACACACTTAGACATAAATATGCTAGGATATCCAAAGGTTCTCTCACATAGAAGGATTCTAGGTTTGCTTAATAACCTAAAATGAATCAAAGCATGTTAGACTAGAATAGCTTGAAGTTGTGATGTATGATCCCTTCATGCATAGCTTGTCTTAGTAGGATAAGACCAGGATTGGTAGCCTAGGACTGATGATTTATACTCTCCTATGGGTAGCTTGAACTAGCATTGTTAGGATGCCTTCATGGTAGCATGACTTGGTTTGGCCAAGACCATTTCATTGTAGTTTTAGGATTGAGGTCTTATACTCTCCTAAGGGTAGCTTAGGATTGGGGATCCATACTCTCCTAATGGTAGCTTGACTTTGCATTGTAAGATGCACTTCAAGGGTAGCTTGAGTTAGGTTAGTTAGGGTAGCTTGGGATTGAGGACTCATACTCTCCTAAGGATATCTTAGGATTGAGAATCATACTCTCCTAAGGATACCTTGCATTTGTATCATAGTATACTTGTAAGGCTAGCATGACTTAGTTGGTCTAGGACTATTTCATGGTAGCTAGGATAGGACACTTGTACCTTTCCTAGAGTAGCTTGGACTTGCATGATAGTGTGTCTTCTAAGGTAGTTAGCTTAGCCTAACCTAGTTATGCTGTTAGGATGATAGCATGGTCTAGCCTATTAGGGGGTTATTCCTTGGTATCCTTAAATATAGGCAAATATAATAGAGGGACTAGTCCCCAACTAGTGATCATTCATGATAGTATAATGGAGTACTTAGTGTGGGTAGTAGTATGGGATGCTATCCATACATTGCACAAGTACGACTTAAGACTAGGTATGAAGGATTCCTACACATAGTATAGACTTAGCTTGGGTTGTTTCTATAGTTACCTTCCAAGATATAGTTGACTAAAGGTGAGATATTCCCTTATTTATGAGAGTTAAGCTAATAATGAGGCCAAAGGAGGGTGGAAATGACTAAGATGACTTCAAGGTTATGCTTAGTGTAAAGGGGAGTATGGGATGCCTTTCATACATTGCACACGTGTGTTTTGAGGTTACTTTGAAGTATGGGGCTCTTATGGCATAGAAAAGCATAGAGACTTGACCATGTATATAGACTATGATTAAGATGACCAAAAAGGGATACTTGGCTTCAGTGGTATTATGGGATGCTATTCATGCTTTGCACTTGTATGCTTTGAGGTTACTTGGGAATGGTTCTATTATGGTAGAGATGGCTAAGAGTCAATTATGTTTATATGATGCTTATGTAGGAGACTATGCTATGACTATGATGATTATGTTATGACTATGTTTATTATGTCTTATGCTTATGTATTATGTTGACTAACCATTTTGAGATGCTCTTATGATGTTGTGCTAGCTTGCATACTTGGTATATTTTGTACTAACGCATATTGCCTACATTCTATTCAAATCTAGGGTTTCGGAGATTGAGTTCCTTGAAGGCTAGGTTTCCAAGAAGCAAAGAGAGTTGAAGAATTGGTGAGTCCTCATAGCTTCGAGGACAAACCCATATTTCATTTATGTCATTTCTTTATGTTTTAGACATTGTATGGGCTGCGTCCCAAGTCTTTTATTCAAGAGTTTAATAGATGGTTTGAGACAAAGGTTTAGTAAAGTCTTTCGTTTGCTTATGAAAATGTTTTCGATTGTATGGTTTGAAAGAAGTTTTAAATTTTCCATACTTTTTTACTATCTTATGTTGTGATTATGCTAAGGGCTTGTATGAGAACCATTCAGGGTCAAGTACGCCATGTTACATCTAGGGGGTACCCTTGGGTCGTGACAAAGGGATGTCGGGACAAGACCGCCAATCATCCTAACAACTAAAGTACTAAAGAAATGTAATAGGAGCCCTCCAGAAAGCAAGGAGGCTCACTAACTGACACTGAGTGCTCAACAAGATAAACGAGGTGCTGGATGCTGATCTTGGTTACCTGTGTCTGCAACATAAAATGATGCATGCCAAATGGCATCAGGACATTGAATGTACGAGTATGCGAGGAGAATACTAAACAAGACATAAGCTTGAAAAGAATCTGAAAGGAACACTTACCTTGGCTTTTCTCAACTCATGAATAACTCAACTCAAATGCAAAGTAAACAGCAATAATGATGCAGTTATACAATGCATTCAAAAAAGAAGGTAGCAACTCAATTTGTTAAAGAAATGCAATACAACTCAGTTTACATGTACAATAATGTAATATTGTGAGAGTTTCTCTAACCGATAACCACCACTATGAGCCTAAGTGATGATACATCATCTTGCCCACGCTGCCAGAACTGTCCTATACTTTGCCATCATATAGAATGCCTTAACTAAGTGGATCCACTAGTCTATTCTAAAAAGCATTAAGGAATCATCGAAAAAGTATGATCCTTTTTTGCCCATGATGGCTACATGGTTTATGGAGACTTGAGTTATTATAAACTCGCTTCCCCATATCGGTGCTCAATACTATTCCCAAAATATACTCAACTCATATGTTTTTAAAACAAAACTCTTTCTTTGGTTTGAGATAATTACTCTAAACTTAGATTAAAAGCTCTCTTGGAAATCAGTGTTTCCTTTCTTTCTCAAATGTGAAAACATTTTAACTCTTGGGAATACTTAGTTCCTGTATAATCTTTGAAGAAAATGAAATTTACTCTTAATATTTACTCAACTCAAAGCTTACATCTTAAAACAAAGTTAAAACGTTTGTGAAAGACTTTTAGAACACTCTATGAACTTCTCTTGACTTAACTCTTAACTTCCCTTGAATTGAAGTATGAATTCAAGGCTCATGAACTCATGTTAATGATTATTTCATGATCTTTAGACGTACCTTGTAGTATAGAAATCGACTAGAAAACATAGGTACGTTGCTAAGGAACTAGTACGGAAAGAAGGGGGAAAAGGCGGAAGAACTAGCGTCCCTGGCGCTATGAGAGACGCGGGGATCCAACCCTTGAATTCCAAGGACTGGGTTGGGGGAGAAAAGGCCCAAAATAGTCCCTCTTCTTTGTATTAAGACTCAAAGTTATCCTTCAGTTTCCACATGGAGCATTAATAGTCCCTCATGTTTGCAATATTGGTGCACTTTTGGTCCTCCTTCAAAAAATTTCCCATTATTAACATTGATTTTATCCATAATTTATGTATGGAATGTTTAATCATCATTTTATATATTTAGTAGCAATAACGACTCCATGTGAGAGATTGTGTGAAGAAAAATGCCTTGTTTTGTTTAGTAAAAATCGTATTGCAGGTAAAGTCGAGAGGTTCATCACGACGATTTCACGTGCAATAGTACAATTTTTTCTTTTCTTGCAATGTCATATGTTAAAATGTTCTTAGTTTAGCTGTAGTAATATTTCTATTGAACAGAACAAGGTGTTCTTCTTCTCATCTTTTCTCACATAGAGTTAGTATTTCTATTAAATATATAAAATGATGATGGGACATTCCTTACATAAAATTATGGACAAAATTAAAGTTAAATAATAGGCAAAAGTTTAGGGAAGCACCAAAAATGCACCAATATTGTAAACATGAGGGACTATTAGTGCTCCATGTGAAAACTCAAGGATGACTTTGAGTCTTAACCCAAAGATGAAGGACTAATTTGGGCCTTCTCTGAGGTTGGGGCGGTGCCCCAGGCCCTTGCCCAGGTGGGTTCCGACTTTTCTTCTTCGTGTTTCAACTCTAAACCCCCTATTTAAACTTGGTTCTTTCTCCAAACAATTAGAATCAACTATACCATCAATATATGTAATATTCTACTCGAAATCAAACCTAAAATCATGAATCAAATTCAAGAAACTTCAACAACAAGAACCCACAAGATTTCAAACGAATTATCATCAAGAACTCATAAGATTTTCTTTCAAAACAATACAACTTCACTGAATTGAATCATGATTGGCGCGTGGGTGAACTAACCCAACGCTATGTGATCTTACATAGCTCGTAAGATTAAATCCTCGGTGAAATCCACAACCAAATTGTACGATCTTGATGAATCTTGACTTTTCTTCTCATTTCTCCTCTTTTCTCCTTTCTCCAAGCCCTAGTGTGAATTTCCAATTTTCTAAACTGATCTAATTCTGATTTGATCCCAATTAAACTCCTAAAATCGAAAAAAAATAATTGGGTAAGGAAAGGACCAAACTACCCTTCTAAAATCCGGATTAGACTTTCCTTATTTAAATAGCCCAACTTCATATGGGAATATCTCACTCATACAAACTCGGAATCACGCAAAACCAGTGGCGTTGGAAAGAAAATTCCAAGATCTTTCCTATGGTATCTGGAAGCACACTTAAATCATCATGAGCTAGGAGTTATGGTCGTTTGAAATTGACCAAAAACTCAAACTTAACATAACTTAATCAATTTTCCAGATTTTTCATTCTTTCCTAAAATGACTATTTCCAATTCTAACTCTTTCTAAATCTTTCAAATAGAGAGATGTTACAATATCTCCCCCTTGGGAAAATTTGTCCTCGAATGAGTTTACTATTACTAAGCTAAGGGTGTAACTTCTAACATTCAACTCAAACACCCAACAAGCAAATCTAACACATCAAGTACATAAATTAAAGAGTACTAAGAAGAGAATTAGTACCTTGGTCTGAAATTTCTCCGGGCTCAAAGAGATGTAGATATCTCTTCTTCATATCTTCCTCAGCTTCCAAGTAGCTTCCTCAACAAACTAATTCCTCCAAAGGACTTTGACTGATGCTACTTCCTTGATTCTCAACTTACGAACCTGGTGGTCTAGAATCTGAACAGGGATCTCCTCATAAGATAAGCTATCCTTGATACCAATATCTTCAGTTGGTATGATAAGTGAAGGATCTCCCATGCACTTTTTCAACATGGAGACGTGAAATACCGGATGAACCGCTGCTAACTCTTGTGGTAGCTCTAACTCATAAGCTACATTGCCAACCCTCTTGAATATTCTGTAAGGACCAATATACCGGGGACTAAGCGTCACCTTCTTACCAAATCTCATAACACCCTTCATGGGTGAAACTTTCAAGTAAACCCAATCATCTACTTCAAACTCTAACTCCCTTCTCCTAACATCAGTGTAGGATTTCTGACGACTCTGCGCCATTTTCAGCCTCTCTTGAATGACTTTCACTTTCTCCATAGCTTGATAAACTAAGTCTGGTGCTATCAGCCCAACTTCACCAACTTTAAACCATTTAATAGGAGATCTGCATCTTCTCCCATAAAGAGCTTCATAAGGAGCCATCTGGATGCTAGAGTGGTAACTATTATTGTAAGCGAACTCAATGAGAGTTAGGTGATCGTCCCAATTTCCTTTGAAATCAATCACACATTCCCTCGACATATATTTTAAACTCTGAATAGTGCGCCCTGCATGACCATCTATCTAAGGATGAAAAGCAGTACTTAAGTTCACCTTTGAACCAAAACCTTTTTGAAAAGATTTCCAGAACTGTGCAGTAAATTGCGCACCTCTGTCTAAAATAATCAAAACTGGCACCACATGAAGTCTAACTACCTCTTGAATATACAACTTAGCATAATCCTCTGCTGTATGGGTAGTCTTTACTGGTAAATAGTAGGTTGATTTGGTCATTCGATCCACAATCACCCAAATAGAATCATGCTGCTTGTGAGACCTTAGTAAACCTGTGATGAAGTCCATATTGATCATCTCCCACTTCCATTCCGGAAGTTCTATATTCTGAGCCATACCCCCGGTCCTTTGATGCTCTACCTTAACTTGTTGTCAATTCGGACACTTATCAACAAACTCTGCAATGCCCTTCTTCATACTACTCTACCAATAAACTTCTCTCAAATCACTATACATTTTTGTAGAACCCAGATGGATAGAATATCTAGAGCTATGAGCTTCCTCCATTATTCTCTCTTGGAGTTCATCCACCCTTGGTACGCACATTTTACCTTGATACCTCAATACTCCATCTCCCCCTTGTTCAAAAGCCAATACTTTTTGCTTATGAACATTTGCCTTCAATTTAAGCAAAATAGGGTCTTGGTCTTGTTTCTCTTTTACTTCTGACACTAAGGATGATTCAGCCCAGTTCATCACCATTACTCCTCCCTATGTGGAATCCATTAGTCGGACTCCCAAGCGTGCAAATCGGTGCACATCTTTTGCTAGATCTTTCTTATCTTTCTGAAAATGGGCAGTACTACCCATAGATAACCTGATCAAGGAATCAGCAACAACATTAGCCTTACCTGGGTGGTAAAGAATACTCATGTCATAATCCTTGAGTAATTCTAATCACCTTCTTTGTATGAGATTAAGCTATTTCTGAGTAAACACATACTGAAGACTATTGTGATCGGTGAACACATCCACATGAACACCATAAAGATAATGGCGCAATATTTTCAAAGCAAATACTATGGCAGCTAACTCTAGATCATGGGTTGGGTAGTTCTTCTCATGAACTTTCAACTGTCTTGAGGCATAAGCTATAACTTTGGCATTCTGCATCAACATACAACCAAAACCAACTCTAGACTCATCACAAAACACAACAAAGCCTTGGGTACTGTAAAGTCAATACTGGGGCAGCTGTCAACCTCTTTTTCAATTCCTGAAAGCTTTTCTCACAAGCTTCAGACCATTGAAATTTCACTGTTTTCTGAGTTAACTTGTTCAAAGGGGATGAAATAGAAGAGAACCTCTCTACGAGCCTTTTATAATAGCCAAACCCAAGAAACTCCTAATGTCAGTTGGAGATGGAGGTCTAGGCCAATTTTGAACTGCCTCTATTTTCTGGGTATCAACTTTAATTCCCTCCCTAGACACAATGTGGCCTAAGAATGCCACAGACTCAAGCCAAAATTCATACTTAGAGAACTTGGAATACAACTCTCTATCCTTTAGAGTTTGGAGAACTATTTTGAGATGACTAGCATGATCTTCTTAATTCCTCGAATAGATTAGTATGTCATCAATGAATATGATAACAAACATATCTAAATAAGGTTTGCATACTGTATTCATAAGGTCCATGAATGCTGCAGACGCATTGGTCAAACCAAAGAACATAACTAGGAACTCATAATGACCATAATGGGTCCTGAATACTGTCTTTGGAATATCACATTCCCTTACCCTCAACTGATGGTAGCCTGATTTGAGGTCTATCTTAGAGAAACAGGTAGTACCCTGAAGCTGATTGAAAAGATCATCAATTCTCGAAAGAGGATACTTATTCTTGATGGTAACCTTGTTCAACTAGCGGTAATCTACACACATCCTAAGGGAACCATCTTTCTTTCTCACAAATAAGATCGGAGCACCCTAAGGCGAGACACTAAGTCGAATGAAACTTTTATCTAGGAGGTCTTTCAACTGTTCCTTCAACTCTTTTAACTCTGCCGGTGCCATTCTGTATGGCGGAATAGATATAGGATGAGTATATAGAAGAGTGTCCATACCAAAGTCTATTTCTCTCTCAGGAGGTACTCTGGGAAGATCATCAGGAAAGACTTCTGGAAATTCTTTTACTACTGAAATTGATTGAATATGAGGTATCTCAACACTATAGTCATTAACTCAGACTAAGTGATAGACACACCCCTTGCAAACTAACTTTATCTCCTTAAGGTATCAAATGAAACGACCCTTAGGCACTGCTGAACTGCTACTCCACTCTATAACTGGCTCATTAGGAATTTGGAACCTAACAACTCGAGTTCTACAATCAATGGAGGCATAACATGAAGCCAGTCCATACCTAGAATAACATCGAAATCTACCATGTCTAACTCAACTAAATCAACCATGGTGTTCTTGTGATTGATGGAGATGACACAATAATGATATACTCGCTCACTTAGAATAGACTCCCCAACAGGTGTAGAAACACAAAAGGGTTCACAAAGTTTCTCAGGAAGAACATCAAAAAAATTTCCAACATAAGGAGTCACAAATTATAAACTTGCTCCTGGGTCTAGCAAAGCATAAACATCAAGAGTAAAGACTTTGATCATACCAGTGACAACATCTGGAGAATTCTTTTGCTCTTGACGACTAGTGATCGCATAAAGGCGGTTTACCTCTCCGCCAGTACCGAAAGTAGCTCCTCTAGGTGAAGCTCTGTCTGGTGGAAAACTGATGAATATTGGGCTCTATTGCCCTGATTTCCATTACCTTGCCGGTTCTTAGGGCACTCTTTCATGAACTGACCCTCTTGTCCACACTTGAAACAATATGTGGAGCCATCGCGACACTTACCTAGGTGAGTCCTTCCACACTTAGCACATGCCAGAGCCCAGTTACCTCCTTGTGCCACACTACCCTGAGACTGTGCAGGTCTAGCTCTAAAGTTCTGTGAATTCTGACCATTGTTCTCACTTTTGTTTCTGGGTGCAGGTGCACTAGCATATGATTAAGCATGTACTGTTTGCCTTTGTTGGAAAGAAGACCGGTTCACATTATTGCTCTACTGCCCGGACTCATTCCATGTCTTCGCTTTATTGTTTCTAAACTCCTCCCTATCCCTCGGCTTCTCTTCCTCAACCTGCTGCACATAGACCATCAATTTTGCTATATTCATATGCCCAATTAGCATGGCTGCCTTGCCCTCTTTACTTGACAAACGAGACAACCCAACAACAAAAAGACTCATCCTGCTTCTCATATCCGCAACCATCTCCAGAGCATATCGGGAAAGTTGAGTGAACTTCAAGCTGTAATCATGAACACTTAGTGAATCTTGCTTAAGGGTGAGAAACTCTTGTACCTTGGCCTCTTTCAATTCTCGGGGAAAGAAGCGCTCCAAGAAGGCCTCCTCAAAACAATCCCAACTCTCAGGTGGTGCTCCCTCAGCTCTACCCTTCTTCCACTGGTCAAACCAAGTCCTAGAAACATTCTTCGGTTGATATGCTGCTAGTTCTACTTGCTCAGCATCGGTAATGTGCGTAACTTCAAATACCTTTTGCAGCTCAATAATGTTCTTTGTATCCTCAGTAGTACTTGAACTAGTGAAACTTGGAGGATTCATCCTCAAGAACTCTCAGATCCTCGAAGTATCATCCACTTCCTGTCTAGCTCCTCTTTGTTGCCCAACCTGGTTAGTCACAACTTGGCTCAACATTCGAATCACTTTCTTGAACTCAATATTCGTGACTTCTCCTTGGGGTTGCACTTCAGGTGCATTAGGTACCCCTTGCTTCTCAACGTTCCTCCTAGAAGGACGACCTCAGATAGATCTTCGTGGAGGCATGATTAACTGAAAAACACGCGCAAACAAGAATTAGAAAGAGACTTTATAGAGCTAAACTCTATCGCACGAAATGAGTATGAAAGAAGTGAGATAATTTCCTAAGTGTTGCAGCTTCCTAATTATAGATGTAACGCGCTTCACACCGATAACTAGGACTCTACAGACACGACTTCATAGACTCCCTAGGACTCTTGAACTCTGTGCTCTGATACCAAGTTTGTCATGCCCCGAGCCTACACCCTGGGTGGGACTAACACTCGAGAATTATTGGCCCCAAGCGAACCCTTGGCCTGGCTTACTTACTCAATGGAAGACTCTTAAGCATTATAACAATGATCAATTGCACATATAAAATAACTGTGTCAAATTAAGCTCAAAACGTTTAAGGATAAAATATTCAACTAGCCATAGATGGCAACTCAAGTCATAACATAAGAAATAATAATGTTAAGACAATTGCACTACTAACTGCCTATGAAGCCTCTAAAACAAGGAGGGATGTTGGGACAAGACCCCCGATCATCCTAACAACTAAAGTACTAAAGCAATGTAAAAGGAGACCTCTGGAAAGCAAAGAGGCTCACCAACTGACTCTGAGTGCTCAAATGGATCAACGAGGCGCTGGATGCTGATCCTGGTTACCTGTGTCTGCATCATAAAATGACGCAGGACAAATGGCATTAGTACATTGAATGTGCGAGTATGCGAGGAGAATACTAAACAAGACATAAGCTTGAAAGGAATCTGAAAGGAACACTTACCTTGACTTTTCTCAACTCATGAATAACTCAACTGAAATGCAAAGTAAACAACAATACTGGTGCAGTTATACAAAGCATTTAAAATAGAAGGTAACAACTCAATTTGTTAAAGAAATGCAATACAACTCAGTTTACATGTAAAGTAATATAATACTGTGGGAGTTTCTCTAACCGAAAACCACCACTAGAGCCTAAGTGATGATACAACGTCTTGCCCACGCTGCCAGAAATGTCCTATACTTTTCCGTCATATAGAACACCTTAATTAAGTGGATCCACTAGTCTATTCTAAAAAGTACTAAGGAATCATCTAAAAAGTATGATCCTTTTCTTCCCCTGATGGCTACATGGTTTATGGAGACTTGAGTTATTATGAACTCGCGCCCCCATATCGGTGCTCAATACTACTCCCAAAATATACTTAGCTCATATGTTTTTAAAACAAAACTCTTTCTTTGGTTTGAGATAATTACTCAAAACTTAGCTTAAAATCGCTCTTGGAAATTGGTGTTTCCTTTCTTGCTGAAATGTGAAAACATTTTAACTCTTGGGAATACATAGTTCCCGTATAATCTTTGAAAAAAATGAACTTTACTCTTACTATTTACTCAACTTAAATCTCATGTCTTAAAACAAAGTTAAAACGTTTGTGAAAGACTTTTGGAACACTCTATGAACTTCTCTTGACTAAACTCTTAACATCTTGACTTAACTCTTAACTTCCTTTGAATTGAAATATGGATTCAAGGCTCATGACCTCATGTTAATGATGATTTCATGATGTTTAGACCTACCTTAGATTATAGAAATCGACTATAAAACATAGGTACGTTGCTAAGGAACTAGTACGGTAAGAAGGGGAAAATGATGGAACAATTGGCGTCCCTGGCGCTCTGAGAGGCGCGGGGCGCTAACCCTTAAATTTCAGGGATTGGGTTGGGGAGCTCTAGCTGGCACGGCCCCCCAGAGCCCAAATTTCAGAGCCCCAGTTGGGGCGCTCTGGCTGGGGCGGTGCCCCATGCCTTTGCCAAGGTGGGTTACGACTTTTCTTCTTCGTTTTCAACTCTAAACCCCCTATTTCAACTTGGTTCTTTCCCCCAAACACTTAGAATAAACTATAACATCAATATATGTAAGATTCTACTCGTAATCACACCTAAAATCATGAATCAAACTCAATAAACTTCAACAACAAGAACCCATAAGATTTCAAACGAATTATCATCAACAACTCATAAGATTTGCTTTCAAAACAATACAACTTCGCTGAATCGAATCATGATTGGTGCGTGGGTGAACTAACCCAACGCTATGTGATCTCACATACCTTGTAGGATTGAATCCTTGGCGAAATCCACAACCAAATTGTACGATCTTGACGAATCTTGACTTTTCTTCGCCTTTCTCCAAGACCTAGCGTGAATTTCCAATTTTGTAAACTGATCTAATTCTGATTTCACCCCAATTAAACTCCTAAAATCGAAATAAAATAATTGGGCAAGAAAAAGACCAAACTACCCTTCCAAAATCCGGATTAAACTTTCCTTATTTGAACAACCCAACTTCAAATGGGCATATCTCACTCATACGAACTCAGAATCGCGATAACTCGGCGGCGTTGGAAAGAAAATTCCAAGATCTTTCCTATGGTATCTGGAAGCACACCTAAATCATCTTGAGCTAGGAGTTATGATTGTTTGAAGTTGACCCAAAACTCAAACTTAACATAACTTGACCAATTTTCCAGATTATTCATTCTTTCCTAAAATGACTATTTCCAATTCTAACTCTTTATAGTTCTTTCAAATAGCGAGATGTTACAATATGCAAGGGCAAAAGGAATAGGAGAAGCAACAAACATGGAAGCAGAGTCGCTTGCTCTGCTAGAAGCAATTTAGTACTGTCAAGAGAAAAATTTAAAAGAGACTATAATAGAAATTGATTCTTTAGTTCGAAAAATATGGTGGATCATCAGTTGAAGATACCGTGGGAATTGGTAGAAAGAATTGAAGAGATTAGAAGGGCAATACAAAGTATAAATGTGTCATCATATTTTTAGAGAAGGGATGCGTGGCAGATTCATTGGTCAATGAAGTAGTGGAGTCACAAGAAACAAAGTGCTATCATCTATTTCAGGAGCTACCAAGTATAACAAAGAAGCATCTAAACGTGGATAAAGCACATAAACCAAACATAAGGATGAAAACTCGCAAATTCAACACACATTGATGAAAGTAGAGAACCAACATAAAGGAAATATACGAAATAGATACCAACCAAACACTCACATCAGCAACAGTCATAACTACAAATCAACAGTTATGCGTGGAATGAGAGAGCACAATAAGTTCATAGCAGAAGACTCTACACCGGTGCAAAAATAAAACTAAAATTAGATAGCCTAGCTATCAAAAAACTTCAAACAAGGCTTGTTGGTTTGGTCATCTGAGGAACTGGTCAGAAGTGATACCAGATAGCACAATCGACGTCATATCTAGGCAGAAATGAAGAACATCTATTGTCACTTGGAGCTTTCCCACCGCAATCTGTAAAGAAAAAGAATCAGTAGCTCAAAGATTGTAGAAGGAGGAGATAAGGAAGAAATTCTTACCAAGAGATGAAGCGGCTGAAAAAGAGGGAAAGGGTTTAGTGTTTTTTGGAAAACTAGACAAGGAGTAGCTAAGAGAAGATTTGAAAACTCTTCTCATTCTTTTATTTGGATCGGGTCCATTTATGGATCAGGTCATGGTTTTTTCCTTTTTAGCTTTTTGTACAGACTGAGCTTTGGCTTTCATTTAATAAAATGATCCTTAGATAAAAAATTTGATTAAAAAAATCATGTTGTGTATATGATAGTCGCGAAGTTAATTACTTTTGAAGCTAAATATGCATGCTTGTACATTCTTTCGTTGTTACAGAGCAATAATGACAATTTTTTGAAATTTTACTTAAAATTACCTTTAATCATTTGTTCATTATCAACCTATAAAAGATATTTGTATTCAAAATTTCGAACAAAAATATTTACCTCATCCCTCATGCCCTCTTTTTTGAATGAGGGATAGAAGTTATTGAACTATAAATCGATTTCACCCGCATTTATATTTTAGAGGTATTATCGAGAATTTCATATAGTTAAGTACAGGTTTGATGAGTGAACTTTTCACTAAAAGAATAAGAAGTTTATGTACTCCTAGTACTGGGAAGAACTTTTTTATCTTGATTGTGATTTAGTGCTAATTAATTGGCAACCTAAAAACTCAAATTGGTAAATATTTATAACTAGTATTTGAGAATGTGTGTTGTATGTTTATCCCTAATATTTAATATAATTTTGAAAAAATCCTTTCGGCTAGAATAATTTGGCCATAATGGTCCAAATACATATTTACACTATAAACTGATTTCTTTTTGATAAAATACCATTCTTTGTCAAATTTAATTTTTTTAAATTTATTTATTTATTAAATATGTTTCAATAAATAAGTAAGCTCATTGATTAATTTTCATATTGCTCTAACTTCCAAACATATATGATTTTTGATTTCTTTTAGAAATGTTGTAAAATGACTAAAGGCCAATACGTGTGTATTTTTTTCCTTTTCTAATTAAAGATCTATAAAGAATACAAAATTTAAATTGATAATTAGAAAATAAAATTTAAAATTTAAATTACAAAATAATCTCACTCATAAAATTAAATTCAAAATAATTTAACCTCATACTCATCTTCTTGTAAAGTCTATCATAGATGCGTCGATTTTTGCGCAACTATAAAAAATAAATAATAAGTATGACCGCAAAAGAAAATCATTTTAATTTATTTTCTTTTCTCTCTTTTATTCCATTCACTCTTTCTTTTTATTTTTCAAAATAAAAAAATTAAATAAAAATAAAATATTCAGATAATGATAAGCGAATATATCCACAAATAAGATATTGAAGACTAAAATTAATCGTTGAAATAAAAAAGTAAAAAAAAAAAAATCACATGTGAGAAGTATCAAATATATTACTAAACTATGTGAGATTGATCATCATATATTCCTATATGAATTTGTTTTAATAAAGAAATTAAAATAAGTAAATTTTATAAAGATCAAACAATATGTTAGAAATCGACATATTATAAAAATTATTTCAAATTTTATATATTTAAATGTTATTTAAAATTATCCCTAATAACGATATTTAAAACTCAAAACACTTTAAACATTGTGAATATCAATACATTATAAAAATTAAAAAAATCATATAGTTCATATATATTGACCCTAGTTAATAACAACCCAAGAAAATCATGTACTAATGTTGTAGTTTCGCGTTCCATGTTTTATGCCTATTTGATAACTTAAGAATGATTACTTATATTTATTGAGTATTAATATAACATTTAATTAAGTAATTTAATTAATTATTATATTTAAATAAATTTAAATCATACATTTAAATAATTTTAATAATGATTGTTTAAGTTATATAAAATCAAGAATTATACATTGTATATGTATTTGTAATCATTTGCTTGTTAATAGAATTTTTTGATTATATAATTAAAAATATGCCTACATAAAGTTAATTAAGAATTTGGCCTAAATATTTATAAGCATAAATCCGGAAAGTCCCACATTGGAGGGGGGGGGGGTAAAGCGATTCCTAACAAAAGCGACTCAGTACCCAAGGGGGCTCGAACCTGAGACTTTTTGGTTTAGGATGAAGGAATACTTACCACTCCACCACAACCCTTATTGGTTAAGCATATACAATACATACATATGCATATTATTTTATTTTTATTTTATTTTGAAAACATCTTCTTAATTAATATAATTGAAGTAATCATGTATTCGTGTTTATAAATGGTTAAATAATTTTAATAATTAATATAAAATTATTGTATTTTTGTTTAGAGAAATTAGAATATACAAAATTTGATATATTATTCGATGTATAGTTATAAATGTCTAATTATATCTTTTTCCATATTTAAAACATCGAATTCTCAAAATTATATGCTTATTTTCTTCTTAAAAGAAAAGCACACACATTGTATGAACGGTTTATTAGTCATGGTAGAATTGTATATAATTTTATGCATTGATTATATTTAAAGAAAAATCAATTGTAAATTTGATCATTCATACTGAATTCAATTTACTAAATTTTGTATTACCAAGTAATTAGTATATTTTTTAATTGGAGAATAATCTACGTATATCTATTATTAACATGAATTTTAATTGTCTCATTCGATAGAAAATTCTATATATTAAATGAAAATATTTTTTTAAAAAATGTATATCCTAATTATGTTATACTTTATTTACATACATTAAACATATTATAATTTAGTATAGTATCCTACATAAAATATATCTATTTTAAAGTATTATAATTGATAATTAGGTATTGAGTGATCTTTTATTTATTTATTTTGAAACATCCTCTTAATTAGTATTATTGGAGTAACTGAATTTTTTATTCATGGTTAAAATTAGTGAAATAAATTTACTAATTTCTATATATGTTAATTCTTGTTTGGAATTATTATAATATTAAAAAATTAATGTGTTCTTCATGACATAGTTATAAATGTCTTATCATCAACCTTTTTTTTTTTTTTATAAACATCTAATTTTCAAAATTACATTAATTTTTTCTCTTGAAAAACATCCATTATATAGACTAATCTATTTAGTTGATTATATTTAAATAAAAATATATTCAATTATAATTTTTTGAATCTACGCTTAATAACTATATTATACTAAATTTGTATTACAAAATATATATGTTTCTTGAAAAACATCCATTATATAGACTAATCTATTTAGTTGATTATATTTAAATAAAAATATATTCAATTATAATTTTTTGAATCTATGCTTAATAACTATATTATACTAAATTTGTATTACAAAATAATTATGTATAATCTTAAGTAGATAAAATAATTATTTGTAGTTATTTTTAATGAGAAATTTAATTGTCTTTTTCAGTAAATTGATTTATTTTAAGAGAAAAATATTTTTTCAAAGATATGCATTAATACATTATGAACATAATTGAGTTCAGGAGAGGGGTAAAAGAGGGAGTGTAGGTTATGTATATGTACAACATAATTTATATGGTATAGTAATGGAAAAAATATTAATGTATAAAAAAGAAGTTATAATTTTTTTAAACTAAAGCATACAATTTTTTTAATTTACCGAAAAATATTTATTTTAAAAAATAAATCAAATGAATTATACACATACAAAAAATATATACACAAAAACACTTTTCATTTCCCTTGGAAGACAAGGAGTTTGTATTTTAGTAGTTCAAGGAGTTAGGGAAATAGAAAAAAGTTAATTTTGTTTTGGAGGTAAAAGTATTGAGGGAATAAATGTAAAAGTTGAAATAAGCATATTATAAACTTTTTACAATTCTATCTAAATTTTTCTGGTCATTTAGCATTACTTTATAATTTTTATATTGTAAATGATAAATTTTATATCGTGCATATATTTTTGGACTCCGAACCATAAAATAAAAATCAAAGCATATAAAAAAATAACTACTCGTAAGTTGAGGTTAGAAAATCTTGTAAACTTAATGTTACTTTAGTGGTATACATAGTACTTTAATTTAACGACAAATACATACTAGAACATGTATAATAATTAATTATATGCATAAATTAAAAATATTTACCTCCTAAATTCACTATTATGCATGAAAAATAAACCAATTTCTTGTGTTATCCTTTTCAAATGGAGTTCGAAGATAAAATACTTTATTAAGTAACCCATAAATGATACAGTATTGAATACCTTCATGATCAATCCAATACATTTGAAGTCATATGAATCTTGTTTCAACTTAAACATATGAGTACTCAAATTTTTTTTAATGTTATAACAAAGAGAGAAAATTGTACTATAGCAATAGTTGCAAGAGTATTAAAAAATACAATATCGTGTGTGAAAATATTAGTTTAAAAACGAAAACCAAGAACCATGAAAGAATAATAAGCTTCCGGCTCTTATACTTTTTAAGTACCGAAAACTAAAGATGATAAAGAAAAAGATGTTGAAAAGATTCTGTTATAAAAAAAAGTTATAACATATAATTAAGCATAAAAATAAACATCTTTAATTGTGAAGCAAATGATAAATTTGTCATGACTCAAACCATCGTGATTGACACCCACACCAACCCTCGGGTGGGAGAACCACTACTACAACCTAACTAAGCAATTTTTAGAAAACTAAAGCATTTAAAGATACGGAAGCAGTTTTACATGGCTAACTAAATATGGAGTTCCCATAAACTCCGAAGGTCTAACAAAACAACTAACATCATCATCGCGAAAATTCAACCCCTAGAACCTGAAAGTCATTGTACCAAAACTCTAATATCAACAAGTCTTAGAAAGAGGGGGTGCAGCCCCGGAGCAATATAATATATGTCTAAAACACCTAGTTTGAGCTTGAAGGGAATGAACTATACAAAAGAAGGATCCACGGCACCTTGAAAGATCTGGTTCACCCTCGAATCCGGTCGTGGTAAAAAATCTCCTAACTGAGGTCTGTCAGTAGTCGCTTGAAGATGCCATTTACTCAACACAGAAAGAGCAAGTGCATAATCATTACACGAAACCACTGTGTAATAGTAGGATCACGCGACTACTCTCGTAAGCACAATATACACAAGCAATTACAACATAGTAAGCACATATATACATAATACATAGTTCA